AAAAAAAACCTGAAATTTATACATCACGTTCTAACTACGTGCCTCTCCAGGAGGGTGACTAAGATCGTTAAAGATCTAGAAAACCTGGCTGGGCACAGTGGCTCACACCTGTAATCCCAGCACTTTGGGAAGCCAAGATGGGTGGATCATGAGGTCAGGAGATGGAGACCATCCTGGCCAACATGGTGAAACCCCACCTCTACTAACACTACAAAAATTAGCTGGGTGTGGTGGCACACGCTTGTAATCCCAGCTTCTCGGGAGGCTGAGAAAGGAGAATCACCTGAACCAGGGAGGCAGAGGTTGCAGTGAGCTGAAATCACACCATTGTACTCCAACCTGGTGACAAAGCAAGACTCTAGTCTCCAAAAAGAAAATTCTAGAAAAAATCATGTGTTAAGACAAATGATTGCAAAAACAGGAAATGTTTGGCCTGTAGAACTGAACGTTAGAAGGATCACTTTGGCATCCCTGAATTATCTGAAAAGCTGTCTTTGTTATCCTAGAAATGATTTTTAAAAAATAAAAAGAGTCCAAAAACCACAGGCTGATTTCATCTCAATGTTAGGAAGCCTCTCCCTCACCCTGAACCCCAACTCCTCCAAAAATAAGTAGGAACAATTTGAGCTCATGCAATTTATGAAAAGCTTAAGTTATCTGATATTATTTTGGAGACCAGACTGGAAGACTTCTAAGGTCTCTTTCAAAGCTGAATCTGTGACTGCGCTTTAACGCCAACAGCCAAAGGTGAAAGAGGACCAATGCCCACACAGCAACATTAACAATCTGTACATGTGTTGAGTGAAGGAAAAAATAAAATGAGGAATGAAGAGGCCACTTATCACCTACATGAACTTATGTCAAGAGTGACAAAGACAGAAGTCAGACAGCTAAATTAGAGTCAGGGGCAAAAGGGAAGCAGCAGATCCTTGTTGAATATGTTAATATGAAAACCAGCATCTTGGGCTAATGATAAAATATAAAAAGTGTTCTCCTTGACAATGTTTACTGACCAAAAGCTGTCTTTTAATGGAAAACTAAGATGAAAAAAACAATCTGAGGCTGGGCGAGGCAGCTCACATTGTGATCCCAGCACTTTGGGAGGCCAAAGCAGAGGGATTCCTTGAGCCAAGAACTTCAAGATCAGGCTGGGCAACATAGTGAGACTTCATCTCTATTAAAAAAAGAAGGCCGGGCGCGGTGGCTCAAGCCTGTAATCCCAGCACTTTGGGAGGCCAAGGCAGGTGGATCATGAGGTCGAGAGATCAAGACCATCCTGGTGAACATGGTGAAACCCCGTCTCTACTAAAAATACAAAAAATTAGCTGGGCATGGTGGCATGTGCCTGTAATCCCAGCTACTCAGGAGGCTGAGGCAGGAGAATTGCTTGAACCCAGGAGGTGGAGGTTGCGGTGAGCCGAGACCGCGCCATTGCACTCCAGCCTGGGTAACAAGAGCGAAACTCTGTCTCAAAAAAACAAAAACAATAAAATAAAATAAAATAAAATAAAATAAAGAAAGAAAGAAAATGCTTTGCCTTCAAATTATTCTTTAAAGAAAACTGTAAGTGAAAAATAAACTTTATTTAAGAGAAGTCTGTTCCTTCTAGAGCACATGCAGTAACTGTCAATTTGCCTTTAAAAAGTTGTGCCTTGTGCCTTATATTAAATTTATTTATAGGCACATTAGCAACTTGTCTAAAAATTTGAAGTTAGGCAGATTTTTATAATAGATTCTGTGTCAGCAATTGTATTTTTAATAAATCTTCCAGGTGATTTTTAAGCACACCACATATTTTGAGAATTGTTGTCTACAATAAAGGTGTCAATTCAAAAAGGACACTGATCTTGCCGTTTCCTGTCTAGAAAGCCCAGATCTTTTATACAGCAAACACCTGTTGTTCAGGTCTCAGCTCAGATGTCACCTCCTGGAGATGCCCTCTCACTCCATCACATGAAACTTGCTTTTTCAGAGCAAACTCCTCTCTGCCCTCATACCTAAAATTTTTTGGGGGGGTATCATCTCCACCCCATCTGGAATGCCAGCATCCCAGGCATCAAATGTCTATTTGACCATAGGGTACATACATCCCTGGTCCCCGGAACTAGCCCTGGCACAAAGTGATTGTCAATGAGTACTCAATTAATAAAACTAACAGTCAATGATTAGAGTTGGGATTTCAATCCAGCATCGAATGCCTTGAAGTTCTTCACACAACACCCAATAGATGTATATTTTCCAACTTCAGTTTGTCAAATGTAATTAAGTGCTTAGAATCTAAGAGAAGGGAGAAAAAGAAGGCAGAGCAGTCTGAAAATCACCTGCAAGCCTCTTAGAAAGGCAGAATCCCAGGACCCACTCCTGACCTCCCAGTCAGAATCTGTGCTTCAACAAGATCCCTAGGTGATTCATACCACAGCCAAGACTGGAATCACAGCAACAAGCCTAGAGGTTAAAACAAAAAGCCTAATAGAAATCTGCATGGTCTGTTTACTCTCTTATTTCTATAAATAATTTGATGAAAAAAGTCCATTAACATTCCAATCAAGTATGCTTCAAAACGCAACTGAAGAAAACTTCCCTCTGGGAGGTTCCTGGGAAGGTGAAAGATATTACATCAGTTCATTTATGTGGTTAAAAGTAATCTATTATTTTTGAAAAGGCAGTAATTCCAACATTACCTTTAGAAGAAAACAAGAATTTTACCTTTGACATCAAGCAATATGTGGGAAATCTTATATCAGGCGATAGGTACTAGTCAATGGAGAAAAATCCCCCAAATCTGGCTGCGGAACATCAAGGACCGCTGCTTCTGATATTCTTTCCCTGCTTAGCTGAAGCAGTTTGCAAGCAAGCCCACCTGCAACGTTTCCCCACAGCGTTTGTCCACTTTTAAAATGGAGTTCTGCTAACACCTGCCTTTTACAGGTGTTGGGATGATTAAATGACAAAATACAGAATGCTTTTAGCACAGTGCCTCACGTGCAGGAGGCACTACCCATTACTTCCCGAAATGACCTGGAAGCTGCCGAAAGGTGGAGGAGAACCTGTCTTACCAACCAACCTCCCTATCCTCCTCTCCATCACAACAAAGGAGCCCTAATAACTAAATAAATTGCAAAACGGGGGGAAAAAAAGCGTTGCTTTCTTTGTCTGAGGAAATATCTGTGCCTTCCCCCGCCCCTTAAGATGTCTATTTTAAAGCACCACTAAGAATATATTCATAAAGGTCGGCGTGGTGGCTTGCGCCTGTAATCCCAGCACTTTGGGATGCCGAGACGGGGAATCACCTGAGGTAAGCAGTTCGAGACCAGCCTGACCAACAGGGAGAAACCCCGTCTCTACTAAAAATACAAAAATTAGCCGTGCGTTGCAGCAGGTGTCTGTAGTTCCAGCTACTCTGTAGGCTGAACAGAAGAACCGCTTGAACCCAGGAAGGCGGAGGTTGCAATGAGCCAAGATTGCGCCACTGCACTCCAGCCTGGGCGACAGAGCGAGACTTCGTCACACACACACACATACAAAACCAACTCAGATGTACAGTGCAAAAGAACTATTGTTACACTTGGGAATGCCTAGTTTTCTATCACAGCAGGAATCACCCTAAGTGCCTTCCTGGGAAGTGTTTCTCTTTTCCAGGGATCCCAATAATACACCTGTTGTCTCAGGACCACACACTAATCTGCCTGGAAAGCCGCCGCCTCCTCGCCCGGGGTAACTTCCCAAGCGGGAAGTGTGGCCAGCGAGCCCCGGGTCCGGCCTGAGGATGCCGCAGTTTTTCCTTGGGCGGGGTGGCTTCACCCGGAACGCCAGGGGCTCGGCGCCGCTCCCAACCCCTAGGAGCAGAGGCCATCTTGGCCCTCGACCCCCGCTTCCCGCAGGCTTCCTCCGACGCAGGCAACATGGCTGTCGCGCGGGGCCGGTCCTGCCCCGGAGGTCCCTAAACTCCGTGGCCCGGCCGGGCACGGGTCCCGGCGTCCGTGCGTCCTGCGGCGCACCTGGGCAGCGCGCGCCTGCGTTCGCCCTGCAGGCACCGCCCGGAGGCAGTTCCGCCCCCTTGACGGCAGCCTTTTGTCACGGGTGAGAATCCGAAGCGTGAGCAGCTTCCCTCGAAGTCCAGCCTCACTCGAAATTAACTCCCCGCCCCCCAGCTTAAATCGACGCGGGTTCACACGACTCCCAACAAGTGCATTCGAAGTAGCCAGTGTGGCCCACACCGTGACTCCCGGAATATTTCACAGATTGACTCCAGCACCCCTCTTCCGGGGATACCCAAAGGGGTGGGGTGCGGGCAGAAGGGATGAAATTCCCCCTTAGGATCTCAGTCGCCGGGGCCAGCGAACAGCCCCCACGCTGCGGCCTCCGGTTTGGGACCCCCCTCTGCGTGACGGCCGTCCCGCAAAACGGCAGCCCCTGAGCTGATGCAGGAATGTCGTGCCCCAGAAAAGTGAAAAGTTGCCCGCGCTACCGGGGCACTGCCAGCTTTAAGCGTTTCTGAGGAATAAGGTTTGATCGGCGGCTTCAAGCCGCCCCTCGCCCGGGGAGGCGGCCTCCCAAGTTGGCCGGCACTGCTCTCTCCGCAGATCCGCGCCTCTCTGGTTCCCACGAGCCCCAGCCCGGGGACGAAACTGCCACCGAAACCAGCGCGGGGCGTTCTACCCCGCCCGTCCCCTAACAGAGGCGCCGCGGTCCCCCCCCACGGGGACCCTCGGGCTCCCGTGCGCCCCCCGCGCCGCGCCCAACACTCACCCACTCGCCGCAGCTGGGCCGGACCGACCTGGGGCCGCCGGAGCCAGGGAGCGCGCTCACCTGGCGGCTGCACCTGACGCCGCGCCGACCGCCAGCGCGCAGCCGGGGACAGGGCTGGGGACGTCTCAGCCCTCCTCCCGCCCCTCCCCCCCCATCGTCTCCCTCCTCCCTACACCCGGCCCTGCCCTCGGGCATGCGCACCATCGTGGAGGGGTGCGGGAGACCAGCGGGCCCGCGCCTGCGAGTCCCACCTGCTACGTCCCGGACGGGCTCCTCGGCGCTCTGGCCCTCGCTCCGGGTTCCTGCAGCCTCCGTCGGAGGAAGCGGGGAGGGAGAGATGGGCGCGGGAGTGAAGGTGTGGTGTGTCGGCCTCTTCCCTTGGTGACCCATTCACCTGAAACTCGGATGGGAGGGGGCGGGAGGACGCGGCCCTGCTCCCCACACCCTGCCAGCGCGCTGTTAAAGGAACCGCGCGGCGTTCCGGCCCGAGGGGCGGGGCGCGGAGGAGAGGCGCGGGCTCCCAGGGGCAGCACGGGTGGGGGTCCCGGACCACCTCTGGGCGCTCTCGGTGCTCCGCCTGCTTCGGTTGAAACCCCGAGGTGTCTGACAGGGAGAGGCAGAACAACGTCCGGAGGGGGACTGTTTGCTCCGGAAAGAGGGTCCAGACACTCAGCACTTTGCTAGGAAAGGCACGTCCTCCTGGGACACTTTTCTGCTTCCAAAATTTGATTAAACTGTTGCTGGAAAAAGGCATCCAGATGTGTTGCTCCAACGAAAGACTCCTGGGAGAATTTCAAAAATCGTGTGTAAATATTGGCGCTGTTTCTGAATCTCTAGATTCAGAATAAGACAATTACTTAGGGGGATTAAAATGAATGTTAACTACTGTAGCTATTAGTGTCAGTCAATTGCCATCCAGCAGGCTAAAGTGCGTAATACAGTTTACACATCACCACCTCAGGGTCCTCTCCTGCCCACCCGCTCCCAAATACAACTGGTGTGATCGAGAGTCTGCTCTTGGGGACGGGGAGATTTAAACTATTCTGGCTCTTTGCCCTAAGAAAAAGCACCTTATACATTGTTTACCAAGCTGTAGTGCTTTAAGAATACTACTCTGTAATCCCAGCACTTTGGGAGGCCGAGGCGGGTGGATCACGAGGTCGAGAGATCGAGACCATCCTCGTCAACATGGTGAAACCCCGTCTCTACTAAAAATACAAAAAATTAGCTGGGCATGGTGGCACATGCCTGTAATCCCAGCTACTGAGGAGGCTGAGGCAGGAGAATTGCCTGAGCCCAGGAGGCGGAGGTTGCGGTGACCCGAGATCGTGCCATTGCACTCCAGCCTGGGTAACAAGAGCGAAACTCCATCTCAAAAAAAGAAAAAGAATACTACTTAAAAAGCAAAATAAACTTGGTTTACTTTTTTTTTTTTTTTTTTTTTGAGACAGAATTTCGCTCTTGTTACCCGGGCTGGAGTGTGCAATGGCGCGATCTCGGCTCACCGCAACCTCCGCCTCCTGGGCTCAGGCAATTCTCCTGCCTCAGCCTCCTCAGTAGCTGGGATTACAGGCATGTGCCACCATGCCCAGCTAATTTTTTAATTTTTTTTTTCTTTTTTGTATTTTTAGTAGAGACGGGGTTTCACCATGTTGACCAAGATGATCTCGATCTCTTGACGTCGTGATCCACCCACCTCTGACTCCCAAAGTGCTGGGATTACAGGCGTGAGCCACCGCGCCTGGCCAACACTGTATACTTTTATGTATGTTTGTTGTATTTCAATATATTCAACACGTTTTTTAGTTGCACCCTAGGATGTGGCAATTATAGTTCTTGGCATTTAACTATCTGCACCGAAAACGAACTTTTAGGTTTCTTAAATCCTGGTTGTCTTTGTGTTCCAGTCTGGAATGTCAGCATTGCTAATAAATTTCTATCCAATCCCATCCACTTCTCTACCTTTAATTAAATGGTTAGAGATGTGACTCTCCCATACATTAGATCTTAAGGCACAATTCATACTTAAGGTAGTAAAAGCACTATATAAATATGAGGTATTTCAGATGATGACAGCTTTAATGGGTAATTAATTTAATTGGTATTTTTTTCATGGAAGTCATTGCTACAAATGCTTTAATATGACTATGTAGTTTTTGAATGATGCAGTTTAAATTGGTATTGTTAACACTAGGGAAGTCAGGTTAATCCTCTTAATGTTCCCTGTCAGATTACTGAAATCTCCTAACATTCCACTTGGTTTATAATTAAACAAGGGAACATTTCCTAATACTCTCAGATTTGTAAACACATGTCTATTATTTCATAATGCATTTTGACATGTTCTGAAGAGGAGATCTTAGGAGTTTTTTTCCACTTTATAAAAGAGAGTTCACATACCATAAAATTCATCCTTTTAAAGGGCACGTACAATTCAGTGGGTTTTAGTGCATTTACCAGATTGTACGACCATCACCACCATCTAATTCCAGAACATGTTCATCACCCCAAAAAGAAACCCCATGCCCATTAGTAGTCACTCTCCATTTCCCCTCCCCCATCCCCCAGTAACCACTAATGTACTTTCTGTCTCTATTAATTTGCTTGTTCTGGACATTTTATATGAATGGATAATACAATATGTGGCCTTTGTGTCTGTCTTCTTTCACTTAGCATGTTTTCAAGGTTCATCCGTGTTGTAGTATGTATCAGTACTTCATTCCTTTTTTTTTTTTTTTGAGACGGAGTTTTGCTCTTGTTACCCAGGCTGGAGTGCAATGGCGCGATCTCGGCTCAGCACAACCTCCGCCTCCTGGGTTCAGGCAATTCTCCTGCCTCAGCCTCTTGAGTAGCTGGGATTACAGGCACGTGCCACCATGCCCAGCTAATTTTTTGTATTTTTAGTAGAGACGGGGTTTCACCATGTTGACCAGGATAGTCTGGATCTCTTGACTTCGTGATCCACCCGCCTCAGCCTCCCAAAGTGCTGGGATTACAGGCGTGAGCAACCATGCCTGGCCCTTCATTCCTTTTTATATCTGAAGAATATTCCATTGTATCAATGTATCACATTTTGTTTAATCATTCATCAGTTGTTGGACACCTGGGTTGTTTTTCCTTTTGGGATACTATGAATAATGTTACTATGAACATTTGTGTACAAGTTTTTGTGTGGCCATATGCTTTCAGTTCTCTTGGGTAAATTAGGTTTTTAAATTACACTTTTTATCATATTTTAAATTTTTTATTATTTATTTATTTACCTATTTATTTTTTGAGACAGGGTTTCACCATGTTGGCCAGGCTAGTCTTGAACTTCTAGCCTGGACCTCAGGTGATTTGCCCACCTTGGCCTCCCAAAGTGCCGGGATTACAGGTGTAACTTTTTATCATTTTAAGGTAATAACGTATGCATATCATGTTATTTTTCTTATTCCCACCCTAAAACTAATCTCAAAGACATGTATTGGGTAGAAGGTTAGCTTTCACATTTTATTTGCTTTCCCAATTCATTCCCTCAACAACTATTTTCTGAGTGCCTACTCTGTACACGCGAGTGAACAAAACTCAAAAATCTCTGTGAAACTTACTTTCTAGTTAGTTCTGAGTTCATCCATATGGAATAATAGGATTCATTAAGTTGAATTATAGTTTATTCACTTGAGATTAATTTTCTAAACAACACTCACAACATCAAAAGAGCTGTAACTATTGCCCAATGTTGTGTATATTTGATAGTCGAAAGTGTCTGGAAAGAAAATCCAGCCTTAAAACTTAAGTACAAGCTGGGCGCGGTGGCTCAAGCCTGTAATCCCAGCACTTTGGGAGGCTGAGGCAGGTGGATCACGAGGTCAAGAGATCGAGACCATCCTGGTCAACATGGTGAAACCCCGTCTCTACAAAAAATACTAAAAATTAGTTGGACATGGTGGCGTGTGCCTGTAATCCCAGCTACTCAGGAGGCTGAGGCAGGAGAATTGCCTGAACCCAGGAGACGGAGGTTGTGGTGAGCCGAGATCGCGACATTGCACTCCAGACTGGGCAACAAGAGCGAAACTCTGTCTCCAAAAAAAAAAAAAAAAAAAACAGCCGGGCGCGGTGGCTCAAGCCTGTAATCCCAGCACTTTGGGAGGCCGAGGCGGGTGGATCACGAGGTCGAGAGATCGAGACCAGCCTGGTCAACAAGGTGAAACCCCGTCTCTACTAAAGGTGCAAAAAATTAGCTGGGCATGGTGGCGCGTGCCTGTAATCCCAGCTACTCAGGAGGCTGAGGCAGGAGAATTGCCTGAACCCAGGAGGCGGAGGTTGCGGTGAGCCGAGATCGCGCCATTGCACTCCAGCCTGGGTAACAAGGGCGAAACTCCATCTCAAAAAAAAAAAAAAAAAAAAAAAAAAACAACTTAAGTACATCATTCTTCAATACCAAAACAAAATTTGCTGGATGCTAAATGATGCCATGCTCGATTTAATCATGTCACGTAATCATAGATTGTAGCAAAATTTAATTACTATTTTTACCAAATATTCCTTCTTGGCAACTCACAGTAATATTGGGTAGTATCCACTATTGAATATTATTTGATAAAAATCCCCATGACTCAGAGCAATGTAAATATTATTTTCAGAAGAACCCCATGATTAGAAACTTGTTGACTTTCACTGCAGTCAAATGGATAAGATTTTTTTAAAAACAATTATTTTCTCCTTTTTTATGTGTAAAGGAGAAAACTTAAGAGCTCAGATTATGGTGTCAGAAATCTCAGTTCAAATTTCAGTGTTGCTACTTGGTAGCTGGGTAGAACTAAAGGACATTAAACTACATAAGCCTCATTTTTTCCACCCTAAATTTGAGAGGATAATAAACAATACTATCTTTATAATTCTGTTGGTGGGAATGTGAAACATTCACCTAGTCCTAGACAGACTATATGCTGAGCCATAAAACAAGTCTCAATAAATGTTAACAAGTCATTGCTGTATCCCATCTGCCTGAAATAGTTCCTGTCACATAGGAATTCCATAACTATGAGTTGGATGAATGAATGAATGACTGGTAGCCCTGCTTCCCAAATCCAACGTACTGTGGAGTCTTGTCCTCCCCTCAGATGGCCATTGTGAAACCTGCACATTCTTAGTAGCATCTAGACATCTCTAGTACTAGGGTTTAGAGGAGAAAAGAAGGGAGATTTAAATAGTTCCACTGTTTCCACTCTGCCTTGCCTGCTTAGCAAGTGAATTCAAGGAGAATGTGTCCAAGGGCAACTCAGTTTGGAGTTGCTGAGAGCCTGGCCTGAAAGGCCTGTAGTTTCTCCACCCAGTCATGAGGAGGGAGGCTCCTGGTACACATAGGACAGTTTCCTTGGGTAGGTGTATGGAAGAATTTATGGGGAAGCTGCCAGGAAGACAATTTCTAAAAGGATAATTACACCAGATGAGTAAACCTTTATCTCCTCAATTCCTATGAGTTAAGCAAGATCCTCTTGGAAGGAATCCAAATTTAAACAGAGACTCAGCACCAGGACAGGAACTTCAACAGGTGGAAGAATAATAATAGCACCATTTACTCAAGGAGAAACATGTTCTAAGTACTATGCTAAGTGGTTTGTTGTTGTTGTTGT